TGCTTCGGCGTGGGCTTCATCCTCGGTTGGAAATTGAAGCCCTGGTGATCGCAGGCGTTCAAGGCTGAACAAGCAGAACTTGGAGAGCCGGGAGCGATAGCACCCGGAGTTGAAGTGGGTCAACATGCTTGAAAGCGTTGATCGCACACAACTCCGGGCGCAAACGCTTCCGGCTCTTTTCTTGTTTCATGGCTGCTCAAGCTGCGCGACGAACTTGTACGTCCCGCCCGACAGCCGTGCTAAGAACTTCATCATCCCTTCGGTCTGCCGGGTGTAGAACGAGATCGTGTGGATCGGAACTTGGTCACGACCGGGGCGGTTCTCCTTGCGGATGGTCTCGATTACCAGCGGCTCGAAGCGGCCGTCGGAGAGAAAGAAAACGGCGCTGGGCTCAAGCGACAACGCGTAGAGCAACGCCGGCAGCGGATTGGTGCCCCCTTCGGGCTCCAGCGCGTACAGCCACTGCGCCGTCTTGTCGAGGTTTCGCTTGTTCGCCTTGATGGGCTCGAGGTCGTCCATCGGGTAGGCGCCATCGCTGAACAGCACGATTAGGTACTTCTGGCTGGGCTGAAGCGCCCGGAGCGATCGCATGAGTTCTTGCTTGGCGTGCTCGAACTTGCCCTGCTCGATCATGCTCGTTGAGCAGTCGATGACGTAGACGAACGATCGTCCGCCCGACCCCACGCCGAAGAACTCGGCCTGGGGGGCGCCGGGAACCGATGACGACAACGAGCCGGAGTCGTTCGCCGAGACCTCTCCGGGCGAAGCGCCGCTGGGCAGCAGGCCGACGTCAATGCGAGGCGCCTCGACAGGCGATTCTTCGAGGAGTTCGCTCAGCTCTAGGGCAGCGGGCGTTTCGAGTTCGGACTCGAGTTGGACCGATGGCACGCCTTCGAGGCTCTCTTCGGCGTCGAGGCCGTCGTCGAAACTCGCCAAGAGCGTCAGCGGCCCGTCGCCTTGTCCCGCGCTGGTAAGCAACGCCAAAAGCAGCAACAGCGCCAAGTGGCACAGCACCGAGAACAGCACCGCGGGCCCGCGGTCGGCGTTGTTCGGTTTGTCGGCGGCGTGATTATCGAAGACTGCAAACACGGGCGGTTCCAGGCGCCATCCAATGCGATGCGAAGTAAGCCTTGATTGGAGCGATTCTTGATTGGAGCGATTCAAGTAGAGCAACTTCCGCGCCGCGACACTTACACCGCTACCCCGCCGTGATTGCACACGACGAACCACTTCCGACTCGTCTATCCCAAACCAGGTCGTGTACGATCCTGCACAGCGAATGTCGCAAGCTGCGACACCTTAACGAGCCATCGGCGCTAGCCGCGGGTGGCGTCACGAGCGAGTTACCACAACGATCGCCGGCTCGCCCTCTGTTTAGAGGCGACGCGACATCGGGGCTGCTGGCCGGTATTCTTAATAGGACGCCCTTCCCTGCCCTACGCCCGTATGCCGATGCTCGCTACATCGATCTTGTCGCTCGTGCTGCTCGCCCTGGCGGGCGTGCTACTCGACTCGCATCGGCGCGAGTGGGCGGTCGCGCGGGTTGAGAGGCAGCGCGGTGACGACGCCTCGCCTCAGTGGCGCTTCGCTCGGCGGCGTGTGGTGCGTCGCAGCTCGGCCACGGTCGCGATCGCCGTTGTTGGGGTGCTTGTCGCCCTCTGGCCGGTGACGCCGCGGGAGCCCTTTTGGGTGGCGGCCTACATGGCCGTGCTGGTTTCACTTGCCGGGCTGATCTTCCTGCTGGGGGTCGGCGACGCTTGGGCCTCGAGCCGGTATTACCGGGCCGAAGGCCGTCGACGGCTCGCCGACGAGACCCGGTCGCTGGCCCAGCTCGTCGAGTCTCAACGGAAGGCCCAACCGAAGGCACAGGACAAGGTGTCTAGCGACACGGAGGGGAAAGGTCGCTGATGGACCCTCTGCGTTTTGCCATTGTCGCCGTGCCGCTCGCGGCCTACCTGATCCTACTGGGGCTGGTGAACCTCCGCCGGCGGCCAACGTTGGCGACCGGCGGCGGCGACCTCGGGGCTTTGGGCGTCGCTCTCGGGGGGTTGGCGTTCGTTGGCCCGATCGCCCTGTTCCGCCCCGACGCGGCCACGGTCGAGCTAGGGAACTACGTCTGGCTCTTCCTGGCGGCGTTCTACCTGCTTTGGGTGACCCTGACGGCGATGCTCTGCCGGCCGCGGTTGGTGGTCTACAACCTGTCCGCCGAAGAGCTACGGCCCGTCCTCTCCGAGGCGGTCCGTAACCTCGACAGCGCCGGCCGCTGGGCGGGAGACAACCTGACGCTGCCGACGATCGGCGTGCATGGCTACGTCGAGCCGTTCGCTTGGATGCGGAACACGAGCTTCATCGCCGGCGGCGGCCGGCAAGACCTGGCGGGCTGGCGTCGCCTCAATCGTGTCGTTGAGAGGGCCCTACGTGGCGTTGTGACGCGTCCTAACCCGCGGGGGTGGTTATTGCTGGGCGCGGGCGTTGCGATCCTTGCCGCGGCCGTTGTGGGCCTTGTGGGCGATGCGACAAGGGTCACCACGGCGTGGGGGCAGGTGTTTGCGTTCTAGAACTCCGCTAGCTGAGCTACCTGGGCGGCGAGGCTTAAAGCGCTATGGATCTCGGCGCCTCTCTTTTTGAGCCGCGCCCGTCAGGAAGCGGAGTCGCAGCGCTCCCCGACTCCCCCCAGTCGGCGCCCCTTGACAGGGCGCCGGCGTTGGCGGCGCATCCCCCCGGGTTGACGCCCCTAAAAAACTTGACTTCACAGTTGCGGCAGTGATAATCGCTCGACCTCACAGCTGGTGGGATTCGCCATAGAGCGGCTCCCCGAAGGCCGATGAGGTCTACTCGCGACAATTGGCCCGTAGGCGACCAAGCCCGGGCCGAACCGTCGCGGGAAGCCCGTCCCTTGGTATTAACCGCCGCAGGTGCGGGCGTTTTTTGCCGCAGTAGATTCGACTCTTACGGAACAGCGACGACTCCCAGCGGATAGTCCCCGGTATTGAACGCTCGCGACCGCCCGAGATTGGGAACCTTTTCGGGAAAGGCAGCGTAGCGGCGAGTTGAAAAGGAGTTTTGGCGATCGACGCATGGATGTGTCACTGCGAGGCGGAAAAAAGCCGTCAGAGGCGTAATAGTCGCGCCCCGGCGATTGCTTGACACATAGGACACCCCCCCCGGCGGCCTGACAGGCGGCCCGTCCGGCGGTTGTCCGCTACTGAAAAGGAGCCCCCATGCCCGACCCCACTCTCAGCAACGTCTTCGAGGCGATCCTCAAGTACGGCCATGACGAGGACTTTGTCCCCCGCGCCCACGACGAGGACTTCGTTCCGACGGCGGCGCCGGCCGGATCGCCCGAGAAGCTCGAGATCCTCGCCGAGCGTGTCCGCAGCGGCTTCCCGCTGTGGCACGAGGCCGACCGCGTTGATTACAGCGGCCTGACGGGCGCTGTGCGTCCGCGTGACTGATCGCGAACAATAATTTAGAGAAAGCCCTCCCGACGGGCCGTCTACTTGGACGGCCCGTCGCTTCTTTTGCCCCTCGCTTTTATCGGGGCTGCGACGGGCTAGGCTGTAGGGAGCGACTTCCGACGCCCTTCTTCGCACCGGCCTCCCCCGTGACGCTCTTCCGCCGCCCAGCCGCCCTCGTAGCGACCGCCCTCTGGCTGGTCGCCCTCGCCGCCCCCGCGGACGACGCTCCCCAGCCGGCCGCTAGCGGGGCCGCCGC